CACCAAATTTGCATACTTTCCTCCCAGTTTCCATAAATAGTAATTTGTTAAGTCATAAAGAATGTCATAAATACAGTTTTCAATATTATGGGGTATACACAATAATTAGAAGTATTATCTCTCAAATGCACATCCTCCTTTTCCCTCTACTTCTAATCTCTACATCCTCCAATTCATTTTCCAGAACACCTTTAAAGTGACTAAAGACAATTTAGAAAGTGTCTTTCTAAAGTGTAAGCTACTTATGAAAATTCCATTCTCACAATCTTTCAGTGGCACTCTTATAATTGTTTCTTTCACTACAAAAAAAATCCCTCCTTCCTACTTGTCACCTGAAAAACTCCTATTCATTCTACAAGACTCCACACAAATGTTATCTCTTCTCTAAGCCTTCCCTAATTAAATAACCCACTTTCTACTGGTATTTATTTCTTCTGGGGTTGCACAACAAGTTGAGCAAATTATTTAATAGCATTATCTCAACACCACTGATTAATTGAAAAATAAATGTATGAGTTCTTTATAAAAAGGGATTCTATTTTTTTTCTTTTTTTGTCTCACAAGCACAGAGCAGAACCTGAAACACAGCAGACTCTCAATAAATGTTTGCTCAATTAAATATTCAATCAGTAAGTAGGAAAAGGCCCAATATTTCTAAGAAAGTTTTCAGTATTGCTAAGAAATACTTCAAGGCAGTTGAACAATAACACAAGGTACAAAATAGAGTAGGTTTAATTAACAAACCAGAAAAAAACTTGAAGACTTTAGTAAGTGCTAAAGTTCAGAAGAAGGTCAAACATAGACTATATGTGTTGTTTTTTATTCTTCCCCAGGTATTATAGTTTTCTATTGCCAAGTGCAACTTCCCTTAGAGTATATCTTTTTTATATTCAATATCAGACCCCAAGTACACAATTCATGATTTTGGGCCAAAAATGAGAAGGTATTTCCAAGATACAGATAGAACTAAGTAGGGTAAAGGATGAAAAACTAATCTAACTCTAGTTAAAATAATATCGTACATATAACATGTGATTAACAGGAGAGTTGTATGGAAGGTGCTGCTCACCAAAATATTTGTTCTCCAATAGCAGAGCATAGGGGAGAGGTGAGTAGCAGGCCCAGGCTATATTCAAGAAAGTTACTGGTAACTTTCTTCAGAGTTCATCATGCTGCTACGCATGGACTGATGATTAAGCTTGAAGCATCAGCAAAGGAGAGGAAGCTGAAAAACCTAAGCTAGGTAAGTTAATACTAGGTCTCAGAAGTTGTAGGGGGATATAATTTGATGCCATAAAGACTCTGACATTAATTTTCCTATTTCTTGTTCAACAATGCTGAAAATTCACTGACACTTTACAATGCATGACAGGTTTCTTATCTATAGTTTGCATATCATTTATCTATGAATATGGTTTCCAATTCTGGGTTTCAGAAATCAAAGAGGAATTCAGAAATTTGGGAAGACAATTAGAATAAAAATAATGATTAAAGAAGTAGAAATACTTAGATGAAGCTAGTGCAAATCAGAACATAATTTTTATACCTGCAACATGCCATGTTGAAAAAAAAATGCATTATTACTCATGTTATACTTCCTATAACTTTCCCAAATGAAATAATACATGTGAATACTCTAGTAAGTAATTTAAATTTAGTGGAAATTGAGATCCATGTGGACTGCAACAGAATTTTATTCTTTTCTTGCTCACAGCAATGATTGATGTTGAGTGAATTTTAAAAAATAAAACACAAGGTACAGTTAATAACAATCTTCAGATTTATACAAGTCTTGTAAGGATTTTCTTAATATCTACTAAGGACCAAAACAGGTCATAAATATTAGATTAGATTATACATAAGTCAATACATACATATTGTACTATATGTAGATGAATCATGAGGAAGAAATTTCCAATACCAGCATTATAAAGTAGTGAGACTGCTGCAATAAGTTATAGGAAATTTTCTTAAAAATAAGGCAATTCCAGGCCTCCCTATTGGTGCAAGGGATTGAGTCTCAGCACTATGAAGCTAGCTAGCAGTGACCCCTGGCCTAGCAGTGACCCAAATGGCACAGCAGACCTCTCCCATCTCACCTGCCACTCCCCTCAGCATTATATTTCAGTAGATCCACCTGTTCCACTTCTCACTCTGTGGTGAATTCTCTCACCTCCCCCCCAACCCCGCCACCTACACCTCTGGCCTAAACCCTGTTCGTGTATACATAAATGAATAAAATAAATATTTTTTAAAATAAGGCAGATTCCCATATTAAAACATGAAATGACTAAGTTCTAAGGATGAAAGTAAGCAGTGAGATAATCACCAAAATTCCTTCCAGAGTTAGAATTATGTAAATATTCTGATTGGTGACAACATATTGAATATTTTAATAGGTATTTTAAAAATAATCCCAGAGACATTATTTTACAAGTATTCCTTAAATCCTCTGCCATTAGCCCAGATTTTATAACATCTTCAAAACTACTGATACATTTGAACAAAATATGGAATCTACAAATAGCCAAAGATGAAAAAGATTGGTCAGTGAATTCAGATATAAACTGTAGCCTCTGCATTGTTTAGTTTCATCATGAAAATGACTTTAATTTAAATGTTGAAATCAAAACAATTCTGTCTTCTTAAAAGAAACCTACAGTCTACTGTAAAGTAATAGTATGTTTTTAGACTTCTAAGTACATATCTTGGGATTTCTAACTTAAATACATGGCTTGTAAAATATGAATCAACAATCATTGAAGGATGATTGCATTTCATCTTGACAAAGAGGCAAAACTAAAGCACTTATGGGGAATGTCTTCATGTAGTATTTCATATGATGCTAAAAAATGTAAGATTTCTGAGACAGTCTTTCAAATATATGACATATGTATATTTTCCAAACCTAAATTGAACTGAATGCTTTATGAAAATGCATCTCAAATATATTAAGCATGTACTCAAATAAAATAATAGAAAAAAAACATAAATTTCATCCAGAGCTGAAAACAAACTGTTATCTACGAAACATAAGAAAAGGAGTGCTTGAGTGAGAAGGGAATAAAGTAAAAATGAATCATGGCTGTAGCTAAAGTTACTTCATTAGGTTGATGATAAAATGATTTTTTATACCTATGGGAGGGTACATAACAAAATCATGTTTTAATTATTGGCAATTTGTGGGAAATTTTGTCCTAGGTGGCATAAATTATCTTAGGTTTAGCATAGGTAATCTAAAATTCATTTAATAATTCCTTTTTGTAAGTTGCTGCAAGAAAATGTGTATAAGGTATGAGTGAACCTGGCCCATCAATATTTTTTAAATTGGGGTCTCTTTGAAAAGAAAACACCCAATATTTATAGTTTTATGTTCCTAGCACATCTATTCTAAGAAAGTTCAAATAATTATATTTAGGAACTCTACAGTAGAGAAAATATTAACAACATTTACCACTACTTGAAAATTTATATACTAAAATTAAATGTTCTCTGGTCAATGCAGTGGCATAATATTACCCCAAGAAGTAAAACATATGTAGCTATTCATTAATACATTTTCTATCTTTGCTACTTTTGTAAAAACTAATTAATATATGCCCTATGCCTTCTCTATTCAGTTATACCACTTAGCAAACTATATGAAAAGAAGTTAGGGTAAAGAATGAGATACAGGGCTTCTTGAAAGCAGTACATACTTACATATCAATTTCTTTATACAAATACTGCTATTGGTAGGTTTTGAAGACTAATCATGTTTATTTTCCAAGTATGAGACTATAATTAAATAATCTTTAACAAGAAAATGACCCAAAACCTCTCCCACAAAGCAGTTACATGACCAGCAATCTGCTGACAAAGAAAAAAAAATAACTTTATCATTTTTACCTAGAAAAAATATATGTTGTGTCAGCTAGGAGATGTCCACCAAAGTCACATATTTCTACGGGTAACACATTTGCTAATGCAGTAGATTGGCAAACATTTCAGAGGAGTAAAAAACAAAATTTAAGTAAATATTAATTTTCAAAACCCAGAAATCCTGCTTTTATATGTTGGTTAGCAATCTAGTAAGCAGTCACAAAATCACTGTGTTAGAATTGTCTTTAAGTGGTACTAGATCCCTTTATTATTATGGTACCTGTTAAATAAAACTATAGATACAGATACCTTATATGGAAGGGTACCTTATCTGAAGGAAACTCTAGCCTTCAGGGAAATCAGAAGTAGGCTATCTTTTACAAGTAAAGTTTCATTTCTACTATGCTTTTCCTTATATTTCATTATTATATTGGTTTAAAGGAGCTACCCTATGCAACATAGATTAAAGTTGGCAGACTGCAATTATTGTGAGTCTTCATGAATTTTTACCTGGCATTTTCAAAATAAAATTTTTTACAGTATATATAACCTGCTTTTATAATAAGATACTCTTAAAGATAATAGCAATTGGAATCATAAACAGAATTAATTAGCCACATAATTTCAGAAGTGGTAACTTAGTTTTCCTTTCTTTAAGTAGTGCAGAGATAGTCAAAAACTCACTAGTTTATATACTGCAAATATAGCAGTGTAATAAATGAAGTCTGACTTTACATATTGAGAAATAAATAAAAATGAGCGTATAACACTTACTTTGTACAAAAATAAACCACTTAAAAAGTGTTAAAACCATCACCACAAAAGTCACCTGTCACCTCTGACAGAGATTAAATTAAAAACCAGACTTTCTAAAACTCCTTCAATATCCAATTTACCTACAATTAGCTAGATAATTTTGTATAAGCAGCAACTTCAAAGGCTATACAGTTAGAGGCTTATTTTACATGGAAACAACTAGCAATATAATGATAATTCAACACACAATGCCCTGATCCACTCTCCATTCAGTTCACACTTGTGCTATGTACCATGAACAAAACTCAACGTTCCATTTTCTACATTCCTAAATCACTGCTGCTAATGAAAAGCGCTGTGGATACCTCCAAGTCCCATCTTACCATGTATGAGCCACAGTGAAGCGACGACGCTGCCGAATGCTTTTATTCACCAGCAACTTTCTGAAAAAGCAGGGTGAGTTCCTTGGCGAACTGCGTGGAGAAATTTTAGGAGATGTAGGTCTGTTTCCCGGTAGTCTCGGAAGCTCAAGTTCTAAGTGCATTTGCTCCTTGAAAGTCTTTATGCAAACCTCAGATTCTGAAGCAGTAAGTTCCTTTGAAGAATTTTTTGCTGTCATTTCTTATATGGAGTACTAGCTTTCACCATCCAAAACAAAAACCTCAAACATAGCAGAGACACAGCTTCAGGTTAGGAGACTGCTAAGTCTGCAAACTATTTCCAGTTTGATTTCGAAAGCTGTGACTGCACTGTATGAGCTGCTTAGAGCAAAAGCAGCATACTCGAAGAATGGCAAGTCAGGCTGTCACAAGGAGCTCTATCAGCCTAGCTTTGCCTCTGAATGCACCAAAGTGCTTCCTATGTCAGTAGCCTCCTTGTGGATGAGGTTTGTCTGCAAGCTACACACTGACACTCACTGAATTCATTCAGCTGAATATATCAGCTCATGAAATATTCATAAGGGCTTCTGATAAATTCCTTAGATGATTTTTTTTCTTAATTTTATCAAATAAGCTGCACTTACAAATGGACAAATAATTAATCCCCAGTCACCTAGTCACTTGTTTTCCTTGCACAAAGGACAGAACCTGACCAGCATTTGCGATGTTTAAAATCTTCATTCAGAATTATCTTGCTATGTAATGCACACAACAGTGACTCCACCTACCAAGTGCTTATTGGCCCGGCATTATTTAAACAACTGCACTCTGTTTCCCCCTAAACAACAACCTTCATTGCTGAGATTTTCACAAAATTTGTGAGGCTTCTGTCCTCATGTCAGTGAACACTGATTAAACTGAGGATTGTCAAAAAGCCTAGCTAAAAGTTCCAAATTCCATTTCTGAATGAAAAAACTGATTCGCTGAAGTTTTTTTTTTTTTCCCCTTCTCCAGAAGATCCCAAACAGCATCAATATAAAAAAATGTGAACAGGAAAACATTGAATTTGGTTCATTCCACCAACGAATTTAAAGCTTTCTTATCTTTATTCCAATACACATTACCCTCATTCTTCTGTTTAAGCTCATTGTTTGAGGGTTGCCTACAGCAGCCACTCTGTTAGATCCAAAGACACTTGTGAAAGCCAAAGCTTCCTCAGAACAGGAACGGAGATAGCAACCACAAAAAAATGAAAGCTGTCAATTAAAGAGCAAAGTCTAAAGTCAAGCATTATGCTTCTGCTATTTATGTGCAGGTAAATATTCAAGGCATGCTGTCTGTATGTAGGTATATTTATTTGCATGTATGCTTGGTGTACTTTGTGTAAGATGTATACCAGTTAGAACTATGGGCAGGGGAGTCTGAAAACTGTCTCCATTTCAAAGCAGATCACAATAACCTGGATTTCACTTAGAAACAGAAGGAGTACTTCAATACTTTTAAAGGAATATAGAAGTGAAAAGAATGCCCTGGTGCCTGAAGTGTGAGGGTACTGTGAAAAGTCTGTTCCAGCAAAGACTGCCACCAGGGTCAGCCTGATCTCACACAGATCTGACATGGCAGAACTAGGGCTAATCAGCAAGAATGATAGATAAGGAATGATTCACAGTAAGAGTTCAGGGGGAAAGGGACTTCAGCCTTCATAAAATCATTCATAGATGTCATATACTCTGGCTAAATATCTAAAGGGCTGACAAGAACTACCTATAACATACGTGTTGTAAATAGTAGGCCTTATGACATGCCTTGAGGAAGATAATTCAAACCCTAGGAAGGTTATAAATTCTTCAATTATAGATGTTACCTTGGGAAGATATTAATATTTCAATAAGACATTTAAAATAACATGAACAAAAGCAAAGTGTAGAATTTTAGGGCTGGAGTGAATCCTAATCATCACCTTTGTCAGTTCCTCTTTCCAAACACTTGTGCAAACCTTGTGAACTTCAGTGACTTGTCCAAAGTCACATTGTAGCTGACATTAGAACTAACACAGAGCCCTCCCCAGTGGTACAACGGGTTAAGACGCAGCACTACAAGCTAGCCACAACAGTGAGAGTTCAATCCCCGGCCCCAGAGGTGATCCACATAGCTCAGTGACCTCTCCTGTCTCTCCCGCTGCTCCCCTCAGCAGTGTACCTCATCTTGTCTGTTTGTTCTGCTCCCTGCAATGTCTCTGGTGAATCCTCTCACTGCCCCTGCACCTCTGGCCTGTATTCCAGTTCTGTATGCATAAACAAATAAATCTTAAAAAAAAAAAAGGTTTTTGGATTCCCCCCAAAAAAAGATGGAATTATTTTATTGTGCTTTGTTTACTTTTTCATAAATATTGTTTCCTACTTCTTACCTTCTAGATTTAATCTTTGTTTTCAGTGTTTAACATGGTGCCACCTCTGGAAGTTGCGACTATAGGAGTGAAGAAAACAAAGACCTTGCCCTCATGAAACTTAAATCTAAGAACAATAAACAGATGTCCAGGTAGGCCTCTGTGCATGTTTTTAATGTAGTTCAAGACATTTTAACAGCCCTGTGTGAGAATGGCTTAACACAATCTCTATTTACTGCATTAAGGAAGCCAGAATAGGACTTTCCTTCAACAATAGCTGTAAATCATGAGAATACATGATGCTGCAATATTTAAAGTGAACTACTGGCAAAAAATGAAGGAGCAATTTTAAGTCATTGAGATATTTCTCATACCTACCTTTTTAAGGCTGTCAAACCACAGTAAGCATTTTAAGAATCTCTTTCCTCCCAAAATGGTGGCAAATTTCACAAATTAGAGTTTATTATATGCAAGCCCGGATTCAGATAAGGGCATGTTGGCATACACTAATGCAGCTATAATTATTTGCTAATTCTTATTGTCAAGATATATGGCATTTCATATTACTATTTTTACTTTGTTATGTTCACAATCAATGACCCTATTACAGAAATACTGAGAATCAGTCTAAGAAATAAAATTCTCAAAAAAACACATTCTGTCAATTCTATCTACACTAAATAAATTTAGGAACACCAAAGAAAGTTCTTTGAAATACAAAAATTAAATGATTATCAGATTATTATAAAGTTTGAATTAGTCACCTCTGAGAAAATGAAATGCATATTTACAGGTAAATGCATGAAGATTTGTCTCTAAGTCAAACTAAGATATACTAGACAGCATTTAACATAGTGTATGTTATTTATTTACTTGTTTTTTAATGTTTACTTTCCCTAGAATTTAAGTTTCATGAGGGCAAGGACTATGTTTTGTTCACTTCTATAATTCTAGTTTCTTGTGTTAAATATTGAAACCAAAAATGAAACTAGAAGGTAGGAAACGGGAGATGGTATCAAAGAAAAAGCAAACAAAAGCACTGAAAAAGCAGATATATTTGGATACATTTACCAAAGAATATACCATTTTAAGAAGGATAGACAGGAAAACAGAAGGAAAAATCAAGAGCACAAATAGTTTCTCGACATTCCTGTGTGCCTAAGAAGGAACTAAAGAACCAAAATGAAACCCTTATCGACATGTAATGTTAGCCTTTTGAATGTTATGAGTTTATTAAATGATTATTTATTTATAATGAATTTAATGTTAGACTTTTGAAATAATTTGTTGCACTTCCGCACCACATTAAACCCTCAGTTCCTTTCAGGCTGGAATCATTATTGTTCATCTTAGAATATGGAACAGTCTGGACAGATAAGTTTTACCTATTTTCAGAAGAGAACATTAAGACATGAAATAGCATAGCTTTTAAGATGTTGATGCCATAATCAAGTATACAGCATCAATATCATTATACAGAACCAATGTTTTCCAAGTTTTTTTATAACAGCAGACTCCTAATAGGACAGAAGGAAAAACATGCTGCAGAGTATCTAGTAAAGCAACTGGAAGTGTATTTTCACAAGTATTGAGTTCCTTGAGTATGAACTTACCTACCATGTTAACTTTATAAGGAAGATATGAATGCTTTAGTTTTATCCATTTGATGCTATTTAATTTCTTATCATTAGTAAAATCTAGTTCCAAAAAGATAATTTTTAACTTGTGCCTCCCAGCAACATCACCTTAATCATAGGGAGATGGTAGAAAGCTTGTACCCTACCTGGAATCTCTTTAAATAGTCTCCTTAAGAAAGAAAAGTCCTTCAATGACTTCACATCATATTCAGTAAGTCCACACCTGAAAGCTTCTATCTGCATTTTCCTCATTTACTCTCCAGAGCTCTTTCTTACTGACCTCTTTTCTGATCATTGAACAGTTTCTTCTTCCCTGAGATATCTGCATGACTTATTCCCTCATCTCCCTCCAGGGTTTGGCCAAATATTTTATGCATGGTGAAACCTTCCCTAGTCACACTGTTCAATATGTCATCTTTCCCACTCAGTGCTATTATTCTTCCAGTATTTGTTATCATGGATTACAGTATATGTTTGTTATTTATTTATTTTTCACCAAATTATATCTCCTAGAACTTAACTTGAACCCATAAAGGCTAAGTTCAAAGGAAAACACTCCATGGAAATCTTTCCACACTCCATAGACTTATATTCCATCCCACCTGTATGCCACCAGCATTGGATTCATCTCTCAAGAGATTCTGTAGTACCCCATAGTATATCTGAGATCCCAATACATAAAACTACTTTATTCATTATCTTATCTTCAAAGCCTCCATGTCCTCTTGGTTGACTAATATTTAGTGTTTGAAAATATGAATTTAAATAATGATTAAAGGGATTCTTTGAAAACATAAATTTGAAAAACCTCCTGTTAGTCCCAGATTTTTCTTATTGTCTTGAAAACTACTCCTAAATTACAGAAACATGGCTATGTTTACCATTTTAACTAGCTTTTTTGTTGTTAAAATTATTATTATTATTTATTATTATTATTAATATTAATTTCCTCACCACATTGCCAAGCAGAATACCAGGTGTTGTAATCTCTATTCATTAAGTGGTGTACAGTTAAGATAGATTACCACTCCCTCTCCTCAATACTTTCTGGTTTTAGCAGGTAATTAGGTGCTTCTTTGATGAGACACATTCTGTGAAGGCAGCTTACATAGATAAAAATATTACGGAAGCTCCTGTCTTTGTTTCCTAGGTCACTGTTAACATCAAGATATATTAGCAAGTATGAGTCAGATACCTAAATGCAAGGAGAGAAACTGTTCCAATGGTAGGTGTTTTTAAAAC